TTTTGATTTAAATAAATACTGACCCCTAAAAAAACAATTTTCATTAAAATACTGCTCCCTGACATACACTTTTTATGAATGCTGCCCATACAATAGGCCTTTTGCAGCTGGGGGTCACATGACCACACCTACCTTAAATCAATCAGTTATCAAATCAAGCCGCCAATGGCAGCATAACTCGAAGATTGATACATGTACGATAAATCAAATTATAATTACTTAACAATTAGAATTTTAAGTAAACGATTTATGAATTTTTTTTCGTTAAAATCCTATTTATATTAACTTCAGTTCTGGATAAGCACGGCGAGTGAAGGCTAAATAAATTCCAATGTTAGCTACAAGTATACTGCAAATGCCATCGTAGCTCAGTGGTTTAAGCACAGCTGTCCTGACCAAGTGGCCACGGTTCGATTCCCAAAGAAAACACTTTTTTTTTCTTTCTTTCTTTTTTTATTATTAATTACTTTTTCCATCAATTCTTTTATGAATGCTTACTCCGTAACGGTGAATTAAACAACTGAAAGTTGGTTCAATTGAATCCCCGACCAACTATATGGTACCATGATTGTTTTCATTGACTCTACTAGTGTTTGCCAGTTTCCATAGCGGCTCTAAATAGTATTTTCGATATCTAACCACACAATAAACTTTATATCAAATATCATAATGTAATAGTACGGTAGCGAGCGTAACATTAGCACACGTGGCCTAATCGGATATTGCCTTTGATTTCCGATCCAGTGGGCCCAGGTTCAGATCCCAGATGACCCATATTTCTTTGATTTCTTTATTGGCCAAAAAATAAATGAATTCAATCAGATGTAGCACAGGGAAACCAGTAAAGAAAAATTAGTGAATAAATTACTATAAAATAATAATATAATAAATAATTGTGAACACAAGTATCGCAGGCTCAAGTTTACAGGAAAGTGATCGAGCGAGCGAGCGATGCGAGTGACAGTTTGTCCCCTCCCAATAACTCTACGATTGCTAACGCAATCTCAGAGTTAAAATGATGTTCAGAAATGGACAGAGCAGGTTTATGTTGGTAAAATTAACATAAAGTCTCAACTCTAAATACTTTAAAAATGACAGCAAATGTAAAATATTGATTGTAAGAAACGTATGGGAAAATAGAGCTGGAGAGCAAGCCATGCTCTCCAGTTCTGTTTTTGCATATGTTTCTTTAGGAAAAAAAAAACTATTTATATTTGCTGTCATTTTTGAAGTATTCAGAGTTGAGACTTTGTCTTCTTACTTATTTTGATCCCCTCTTTCCATTTCTGAACATCATTTGATGATAGCCAATTGATTTAGGTAGGTGTGGTCACGTGACCCCTAGCTAAGGCCTATTCCACATGAAAGTTGCTTTAATTATTGTATCAGGTGTTATGAACAAAGCTCAGATCTACCAAGGAAACAATCAATGATAATAAAGTTGACATGTAAAATCAACAATACGAGCGGGTGNTTCAGGGTTGAAGTTAAGGTTCGTTAACTTCAGCATTGAATACAACTGAAAAGCAATTGCGAACAAAGTTCGTTGTGGGAAATCAGTAACAATGGTCGGATTATCAATATCATTTTGTACTGTTGTTCTGCGAGTGATACTCTTAGAACAGTGCGTATCAATTCTTATCATGTCACATTCCAATTCATTTGAAAACATTGGAGCATACAAAAAAACAAGAATTCAAATTCGCTCAAGTTCAACTTCAATTTTTTCCTCGGAAATCATGGTATTACAAAGTAAAATAGCATGTCTTCCTCTGGAGATTATGGATTAATGTCCCTCAGCCTCGGGCAGATAAGTAAAAGTTATCTACCCTCGGCTTCGGGGACATTTAATCCCTAATTTCCCTCAGAGCCATGCTATTACTTATAACAAAGGTCAATGCATGTGACCAAATAGGCTCATTCTATTGTAGCTATTGGCCTAGTAGCTCATTAATTATGTATGCRTTTTTTAAGTTAAGATACACCTATTTGCAAGAACGTTGYCATATAAATACTTGTTTTGAAATGGTCAGCCGAACTTAATTTTGTTCAAWTTTTTTATATCCGTTTCGCAGTACGATGTAAGCATACCCTGCTCATATCCGGTAAACGCTGTATGAAACTCGGGCTATGTGAAGAGTTTTAATCTTTAGTGTCAAATGGTAGGTCAAGGTAAAAACTATGGAAACACAAGATATCAGCTAAATTCGGAGAGCATTCAATGTTGTTATTTATTGAAACGGAAGTACGGCAAAGATGCTTAGGGGTTTCGTAAAGTGTTCCAGTATTATAAGCAATTATTTTGAGTTATCACAAGTGATTCAAGTGATTCAGGTGTTTCATTGTGTTTGCGGGTGAAACCGACGTTCGATTAAGTTCTCGCTTTCTCGCGTGTTCACTAGTACAGTTCCGACTCGCGTGGATWTAGGTGACATTTATAAAGTGCAAATACATGTATTGAGATCGCTTTGATAGGAAAAGCGCTCAATGTTAATCTTTGATGATATAACATGTCAGAAGTTCGGGATGTTATCCGGGACATGAGTCAGTCCACGCCATTAGTAACGTCTGCTATAATACATAATTTATTACACGCCCGTTGCATTGCAACAACAAAACTTACATACACATATTGYAAGGAATTGCATAACACCAGCTCAAATACGTTCCACTGTGTAATGTATACTTACCCGAAAGTAAAGCGGTCTGCGTCTGGAAAACCAAGCATGCGACATGCAACACGAGCGCCATTAAGGTCCCATTTACGGTCACAGACATCACCCCATTTACCATCACGAAACAATTCTATTCGTCCTTCGTTGCGATGTTTTCCATTGCGAAGACGTATTTTGATCGGTTGTCTAGCGTAGGAAACCCAAGGGAATAAACTTACAAGGGATATTACAAATAAATGTGTTACAAGCATCTCTTAAATACTTGGCCTTCAGAATAGTAGAAGATAATACGTTACTACTGACTAGTCTCCGAGATGTTTTCGCCTCCAAGACAACGAATGCTAAATACCCCTAAAAGGCAAATTCTGATATTCTGCTCGCATGTGTTCAGCGATTTGTAATATGAGATTACTGTTCAGTCGAGACAAGGACTCACTGTCCAGATGTCATCACCCACTTGATATCCATAGCACAGGTATCCCAAATGAAAAAATATATATATATGATATAGAAACCTTCTGTGTAATATTTGACATCAAGAAAGGGATATTGATTTATCGGTCTTATGATTGGTACACCGGGGAGGGGGGGAAGTTCGGTGCCAGAATTTCTTTTTTACCTCTTATTYCCGGTAAGATTAACAATTATAGACATCTATTGTCACTTTTGGTCAATGTTCGATGGTCGTGGTCAATGTCAGACTATTTAACGAACTGCGAACGATTTTGAAATGTAATGCACTCATATTGGCACTTTCTTGACGTCGTAAAATGTTAAACACTCAAGTGGATCCGCGAGCCGAGCGGCCATATTTTTAGTTTGAAAACAGTTTGATCTTTTCTTTCAGGCGAGCGAGAGGGGATGGCCAAGTATGGTAAAAACTAAATTGTAGGTATACAGTGTATGCATGGGCACTTTAGTTTATCAGTTCATTAGTTTGCCCTGATGATGGACCAGTCGAGGCCGATTAATTCTCTTTGGCACCGTTCTGAGTCCCTAAGGCCAAAAAAGATAAACCCTTTATGGTTTACTGTGAAATAAACTATATAAGAAAGAGATAATCCACCATCTCGGACGCAGTCAGGTCCGCGGTCCAGAAGCTTGACATGCGTCTGGTCCAATAAGCAACTGTGGAGGTTTTCTTATAGCTTCTTATCAACACMTTTTTGGGCATAAATTTATGTAAATACAACACAGATTTTTGTATGAAATATTTACAGTTTTATTTCAACACAAGTGAGTTATTTTAAGCATATAAATGATTAAAACAATCATTAAATTATGTTTTATTTAGGAAGCCGAAATCACCAAAGTTTCGCTTAGCTGAATGCACTTTCCTTGTTTACTCTGTATATCGCAAAAATGTTATATAATATAATAATTAAGAATAACTTTTACGCTAGTTCTTTACCTTAAAAGCTTACCGCGCTCTACTCTAGCACTGCTCATTTGCACTAGTGTCTCCTCTAGAAGCCGTTTTGAGGCTCGTTAGCAGTGGAGAGACCTGGGAACGAGACTATACATTTGMACCGACTATAGATTTCCCATCATGCTTTGTTGTGTCGCTCACCACATTCACCAAGTAAAGAAGGGGGAGTGTTGTTTGACAAGTTCAAGTGTGACAAGTTTGTTCAAGGTGTGTACAAAGCTCAAATAAAATAGCAACTAATTGGCCTATATTGAACCTTGTTAAGCTCGCGGTGTCTCTAAGGAGCTGGTCCCACGGCAGTAGCAGATCTAGTAGGCAGATCGTAAGATCACTAGATGATCGAGATGTCTCACGCTAACGAGGTAAAATACAGCCCAAAAACTTTGTCTGCATTTGCCAGGTGAACTGGCTAAGTTTCACTTGCATTGCAAAGCCAATTTGGCATTGACGCAAATTTTTAGAACAATTAAGTAATGGGAAAGTCTCCTTGTACGTCTTATGGCCAGTTGCCAATAGTGCCAAAATTCCGCTTTTGTGCTATCTTTATAGAAATGGAGTATTTGACCGATCATTCTACAGAACTACATTTCCCATCACGCTAATTTGACTTTTAGAAATTGAGAAATGGTATCTCTTCACATTGGCATTTTCCTCAAAGTTTGATTGGTAGGTGTAAATACGGTTGTTCTCACGGATATGACTCATACCTTTCTAAATTTATATTCTATAACAAGACATTGTCACACGCTGCATGAAACGTTCTTGTGCACCGATTTGGCTCGATTGCTGAGAGTCCAAGAGAAGCTCTACAACACTTTGCAGGAGGTGAATGAAGCAGGAGCCCATCAATAGAGACTAGAAGACAATTCACTTCATCTATCGTTCACCATGTTTCTTTAGACGATGGTTTCCCCTCGGGTTCGAAAAAAAATATTATAATACACCTCTATATGAAAACTGTGACTAAACCCAATTCATATCATGGACGCTCTTAGTAATGGGCTCCTGGCTGTAGGTTTCTCGACTATGTTTACCTTTGCAAGTATCAAGACACTGTGAATAGGTCGTGAAAGAAACGTGTCTCACAACAGAGACCGACACAATTTACTCATTTCAGCGTGTACATGTATTACATGTTTCAGCGCTAATATATGTAAGTCATATTTTCTTTCACAATTAAGTGGTTATACATATATATATATATTAAAGGATATTTTTTTTCTTTGACATAGACATAGACATAGACATATAAACCCAGGCCTAGGCATTACATTATGTAGTAGTCAGGCCATTATATTATGTAGGCATGGCTGATGCATGTCCCCACGTCGTACCACTTTGCGGGCCAATRCGATCTTTTAAACGGAGTTTCTTAAAAAAGAGTCTGATAAATGCCATTCTCATCTCTGAGTTAAACAATAAGAGTACAATAGGATCGATAGCAGCGTTAGTGTACATGATGCATAGAAACACATTAAAGTACATGGGGTTGATCCTATGGCTACTGAACTTGTGTATTGCCTGCACTACAAAGAATGGTAGCCAGCAAATCACAAAAATGCCTCCAATTACCGCCAATACAAGAGCTGCTTTAAAGTCTCTTCTTTTTGAGTGATGGTCACTTCGCGTCAATGCAGTTGTGTGCTGTGCTGCCATCCGTTGAGCATGATTTCGAGCAATAAGATATATTTTAAAATACGTGACGCACATTATGACTGTTGGAATGATAATCACAAACATCCATAATGCAAATACAAAGTACAAAACTTCAGAGATTTTGTGTTCCTCTGAAACGGCTCCACTGCTACAAATAGAGGTTTTGTTTCGCCATGTGGTCGGAGGGATGGCCAATGCCAGCGCACCAATCCAAATTCCCGCCAAAATCGTCTTTGCGAAAGCTGGCGGCATTTTATCAGAATAACTAAACGGTGATGCAATCACGAGGTATCTGTTGATAGCAACCGTTGCGAGGGTCCCTACAGACGCTGATCCAAAAAGGACACCGAGGGGAGTGGTAAARTAGCAGACCCCATAATGTGGATACCAGTCTTTGTCGATTCGTGATAGAATCGAGGTGGGGATCTTTAAAAGTGCGTTGAGAAAGTTTGCTACAAGAAGATTCAGGATAAAGTAGTAGTGAACATTTTGAATTAAGCGTTTTTTGACGATAACAAAACCCAACAATGCATTTCCAAATAAGGCTGTAATGATGATAAAACATAGGTACGACACGAGTACAATATCACCGGTGTTCAGTCTTCTTGTCCGAGGAGTTCCTGTTGAWCCCGTGACATTCATCATTGTCGTGCCAACTCACGTGTCGGACACGTGATGGACACGTGATGACCACAAGTAAATGACGTAACAGCTACGGTTTCCTTGGAATTCTACCCAAAAAGGGCGTGGTATCGGTAGTAAAACAGCTTCTACAGCTTATTTATTGGCTCCTGTAAGGAAATTGAGAGATTTAGACACTGCTGGTCCACTGTGAAAGTACACCTCGTTGCAAAAATCTTGTCATAGAGAAATAGAGCACTTGGACTTTAGTGCAAGAACAATGCATTAAAAAGACAAAAGAATATCACTGAACGCTTCTCATTGCCTTTTTAAATATGTTCCTTTTGCACTAATRTTCACATGTTCTATTTCTTTAGAACAACGTTTTTTTGACAAGAGCTATATTAGGATTTAAGTACACAAAAACAACAGACACAACGTAAAATATTGCTGTGTTTGCGCAGGTGATGGTTGAAACACGATTAATAGTCACTGTCCAATGATACCTTTTTTATTTTATCAAACATGGTCGCATTTCTTATACCAAAATGCTATATTTGAGTCATGCCACACGTTTCTTATATTTTTGCAAGTAAAATCGAAAATAGGATGTCAGGAACTCATTTGACAGACATGAAAAAGAGCGACGATTGTTTTATATCATCCCGGGGGGGTACTCCCATATATTTGCTATACGGGGACGTGCCGCTGGCCAGGGTATGGTTTTTGGCCTTGCTGTCTTAAACAGGGTATACATTTCACCCGAAATTGTCTTAAACAGGCTCTACAATTTAGATAAAAGAGACCGATATAATT